CGCCTGTTGCGCCGAACTTTAAAAAAATCTTACTCTGCCTTGTTTTCAATCGTGGGAAGCACTCGTTAACCTTTTTGTCAGCAGAAACTCGGAGCACTTTTTTCCGAAATGTCTATTTCGAATTCGGAGTGTCTACGTACACGGTAACCGGGCACGTAGCCTCAGGGTCTACGTACACGGTAACCGGGCATGTAGTCTCAGGGTCTACGTACACGGTAACCGGAAGGTTCAAGAGATAGTTCCCTCAGCCAAAAAGAGTGTCACTATTATTGTTTTTCACACAAGTAGGGTAGATTCTAATTCTGTTCGCAAAGTTCGCGCTTTTTCGAAGAGGGCGCACGAGGGCCAACAGCTCTATAGTCCAGCATGATACCCACTAAATTTCATAACAGAGCGTCCAGCAAGCCTTTACTTTCGCTTTCGTTACCACCCAGAAATATGTCAGTAATTGTCTGATAACGCAACAATTATTGTAACATGCAGGTTCGGCATTACAAACGTGGTGTCGCCATGAAAGTAAATCAATATTTGTCACTGTGTCGTCACTTATAGGGGCAACATGAAGAAAAGAAAGTTATAAAGGCGTCTTGTCGGGCTCGCCACTGTGGCCGGTCAATGAACCTGCACGCGTTCAGAGCGCTGCGAAGTACAGGACTCAGGAATGGGGGAAAGGGGGGGGGGGGATTAGTGATTTTTTTAAAAGACGCACTCGGGGATAGGGGGAGGGCTGGACGCAACACCAGTGGACAAAAAAAAAACTGAAACTGGAAGCAAATATGTTTAATGTTTAGAATTTTGATAACTACTACAGCTCTCTGCTAAGTAAAGTGTGTGTGGGTGTAGGCCTTGTGTGCAAACGGCCTAAATGTTCGCGTTTCATTGGATTGGTGGCAGTATATTTTAGCTTTCTGTACAAGATTCGCAGATTTTCAGTATCACTGCATCTTGCCCTCCCACAGTTCTTACACCTCTCACACTGAATAGGTCTACTTGGGCTATTCTACTGTACTTTGAGTAAGAGCATTATGTTAATTTTTGTCTTTCACGTTTATTAAAAAGGCCTATATATATATGATATAATGAATCATGACAGTCGATATTCTGGTTCTGGGCTCAAAGCAAGATTCATTTTTATATATATAGTTTATATATATTACAGGCGAATATGATGAAGGGAAAATATTAACAAGCCGCACAAAACCCCAGGCGCCACCACTTTCTGTACGTAATCAAGATTGTAAATTTGGTGCGTGACTCTTACTTGAAATTATCTCCCAAACCCTCAAATTGGTGTGAAATAACCTTGCTTTGATAAATTGATGGTTTTCATTTCAGCATTCTAGGGTTCAACAGTATAATAATAATGGGTGTTTCGCGAAAATGGGCTTCTGTGGTGATCACCCGGAAAGTTCCTCTTTTATTAGAATTCTGAGTTGAGACCCATATGATTTAAATAAGATGATATTGGTTTTCAAAATGCTATGTCACACCCTTTGGTGCAGAAGGGCAAGCATTAGACCTAATACTATAGCCTTTGGGTGTTGACCATAGCTAAAGATGTACTTTTCCATGTTTGATTTTGACAACCTTCTCTAGTTTTAATATGCCCTGGGTCATTCATTTTTTATTTGTTCTTTTAGCTTTCATATTGTTTATCCAATGTGTATGTTGTGTGATTTGTGTGTGCTTAGAGACAGAGAGAATATCGTTGTAAGGCTATGGAGATTTTTGTTTATAATATAACTACATGTACAAAGTCATAGTCAAGTCTACTTCTGACAAACTCAACCGATAAAGCTATCCTCACATCGTTTTATCCAATGTGTATGTTGTGTGATTTGTGTGTGTGTAACATGCTAAGTATTAAATGTATTTAGAGGCTATTCACACGTGTATATGTGTGTGTGTGTGTGTGTGTGTGTGTGTGTGTGTGTGTGTGTGTGTGTGTGTCCCTCTCTCTCTCTCGCTCTCTTTCCTCTCTCTCTCTGTGTTTATGTATTTTTGTGTGTTATTGTAAGTGTGGTGTTTGTAAAGATAGTATTAATAGCTAGGCCCTATCCTATATTATGTGATCGGCAGCAAAAAATACTGTAGTGTTTGACCCTAAAGCAGCGCAACTGTGTGTGGGAGTGAAAATAGAAATTACTTTCTCTCAAACAGCGCATCTCTGTCTGCGAAGGCGAAGAAAAGTGAAAGTGGAAAGACTTTTTGTTAGACTTTGAAATCTAGATCTAGAATCTAGAATCTAGATCTAGATCTAGATCTAGATTCTAGATATCTAGATCTATGCCTGCTTCCGTCATTCATTCACCTGTGCGCACACTATTATAGAAGAAATGTTATGACTTACCTGCCACGGGCATTACCACAACAATATAAATTCTGAGTGACAGTCGGTTAGCAAAAACTACATATTATAAAAGACGAAAGTGAAAAGTGAAAAGGTTAGAGAAGGTGGAAGGGACGTAAATCTAACAATCAAAACAAAACAGTAAACAGGAAAGAAGGTTGCAGTTGGTATAGACATCTAATTATTATAGTCCATATCTCAAACATATCAATTATGAATAATACTTTCAAAGCACAAATATTTTTCAATTTAAAAAGAATAATTCTAAATTTATTTAGAGGTGATTAAATCTACGAGTGCTATAAAGTCCATGGTAAAAAAAGCTTAACGAATAATTGTACTGTATAAAAGTTGAATACTACTTTTTGTATAGATAATGCCTAGTGATTCAAAATGGCCACTCACATAGTGTAAACAACATGGCGTCAAGTCATTCAAAAGATACACTAGTAAAGCTAAATATGCAACCAGACACTGAATTTTCTTGCCTGAATGGGAAAAAAATTGATTAAACCTGAATATCAAAGCAAATGACAAGGTAATATATATTTTGTTGCCTTTAAGCTTTCAATTAGGACAACAAAGATTGAGAAACCTACGATGCAATTGGTAGCTTTTAAAGTTAAAATTAAAGGACAATTTTAAGCGGGCTAACCCAAATTGCGGGGTTTTCCAGAAATCTTGACCTACACCAAATATGGGCATTGCCCGACCGATAAGAGAAGTTTGGTTTCATTGGTGTGTATGATTATTAAGTTAAAGAGAAAACTCTCCTTGTCTTTGGAATAAACTGACACGAGTGGGCAAAAACTTTACCTTCGGTTTTCTCAAAACTGCATTTTTCGGCACTTAAAAGCCACCAATTAAAGCCCTGGCCCTGGCCTAAATTATATCTTCTTCAGCTGCATTTGGGGTATTTTTGACTTTGCGTTATGCTGTGTTGTGCCTACAATGTGATATCTTTCCCCCAAAGACTCATTTTTTGATGTTTGAATCTTTTTATATTATAGACAGTAGCAGTTCTTGTTTTCTGAATCCGATGTTAGATGTATCTGTTTTAAAAATTCAATAAATTTATTGATACAACCAGCAATACAATATATACTGCCCCTTCTAATCTATTGATCAGCCTGATCAGGATAAATTAGTATAGATCGCGGAGCGCCGATTTGACCCTTCGGATCACTTGCACATGGTAGCCAGTTTATGCGTCTGTCTGTCTTAACTGTCTATCCTTTTTTCTTTTTTTCTGTCTGATTTTATCTTTTTATCCACCTTTACTCACTTCTTTCTACATTTCTTTCTTACTGTCTCTGTCTGTCCTGTGGGCTGCCTGTCTGTCTCTGTGTTTATTTAGTCTTTTGCCATTTTTAAGTATCTTAATCTCTCCTCTTTTGTTTCTATTTTCTTCAGGATCTCTCTCTGTCTGTTTTCCAAGCCCTCTTGTCCATCTGTTAATCAGTGTTGTACTGTGAACTCTCACTTTCATCGTGACTGTCGCAAGTTTCTAAAGGGACCTATTTCTCCTCTTGAACTGTTGACTACTGCACATGAGGAAAATAGTCAGTCTGATGAAGCCCTGAGCTGAGAGCGGGTATTTACATACCTTACACTTACAGCTCTGATGGGTTACATTAAAGTATGAGTGTGTGTTCTGTGTGTAAGGGAACTGATTTGTGAAGAATAGGTTGAAACCGTTACATTTGTGTGTTATATGCAATGCATTTTATGCTATGATTGGTGACTTCGACATAATGTGATCTTGTCATATGTGCTTTCATGCATTTTGCCAGCTTGTTTATCTGTCTGTTGTGTCTCTCTTCTCTGTCCCTCTCGTTCACTCTCTCTTCCTTCTCTTGGTCTTTTAGTAAATGTGTATGTGTGTATGTTTGTGTGGATCTATATGCAAACACAGGAAAGGATGTCATGTACAACTTCCAGAGAAGTTGCTGTTTGTGAGCTGTATCCCATCAGTTGGAGAATGGTACCCCCCCCCCCCCTTTCATATTTTGAAAGTAGTTTAATTGTTTAGATTGTCCTTTTTTAAAAAGTGTTTCCCACTTCTCTTTTGAACAGATGCCATCCACAATTCAAGCTATAGATTCTACAAGATCGCACTCTATAAAACCAGCACAAGGACTTCGTTATGGGAATTTTGAAGGTGTCAGGAACTTACCTCCTATCAGGAAAAGTGACAGCTATAGTGATCAGAACTTATGGTCCATGAACAATGAACAGATCTATCGAACAGTGTGTCAATGGATGGAAACATGGCGGCCATGGCAGCAAAGAACTCTCCTATGTGGCATAGCAAACAGGTAGGCCTATATCATGTTGGGTAAAAGGAAGGTATAGCCCGTCCGCCCTTTGAACTGCTTGACTTAGTGCATAACATCCAGGCTCATCATATGGGTCACAGTACTAGTGGGACTGGTGCTTTGTCCTACAGGAACAGGAAACAATTGGCTGCAACCACTCCGCTGTGTGAGTAATAATAATAAATAATAAATGACATTTATATAGCACTCAACCCCGGATAAAGTACACAGGCTCTGAGCACTTTACAATACAGTACAACATACAACAGTAACATGAAACGTTGTGTTCTGACTTAAGAAAATTATTCCAAATATTCATCTTATTAATTTAAAAACAGAAACGACTTCAGCTGACATTTGAATGAATCAAAAGATTTGATTTCTCTCAATGTACTTGGTAAAGCATTCCAGATCTTTGGTCCTTGGAATTCAAATGCCCTTTCACCCATTGTTTTAAGTTTCATAGATGGTAAAATACATTTCTTTTTGTCAGCTGATGACCTTAAACTGCGAGTTGGAATGTACAGTCTTAACAGATTTGATAAATATGATGGTGCATTATCATTCAAACATTTGTGACATATGGTGGCCAACTTGTACACAATCCTTTTCTCAACAGGAAGCCAATGCAAAGTTCGTAAAAGAGGTTTAGCAGAGTCTTGCTTTCTTTTCCGTAAAACTAAACGTGCTGCATTGTTTTGGACAGTTTGAAGTCTTTTAACTTTCTCCAGTGATATTCCTGATAACAAGGAGTTACAATAATCAAGTTTTGATAAAATTAAGCTAGTTACTAGTAAAGCAGTATACTTGGTATTGATCAGATGACGTATTTTACTAATTTTTCTTATTTCTAAATGCATGCAGCTGATCAGATGATTTACCTCAGCCGACATTGACAAACTAGAATCAAAATAGATGCCAAGATTCTTAACTTTTCTTGAAAATAAAATTTTTGCATCACCAATTTTAATGTGATCATGGTCAACCTCCTTAACACACCCTGCATTGCCTGCCAGAATGACTTCTGTTTTATTATCATTTAACATCAATTTATTTTTGTTCATCCAGTTTTTCACTAAGGCAATACAATTTTCAGCACGATGGACAAGTTCATCTAAGTTGGTAAACAATGTTGAACCATAAATTTGGGTATCATCACAATGGAAATGGTGTTTTAAGTCATATTTCACTATTTCTTTGACAAGTGGTTGAGTAGGCCTGTAAATGGTGAACAAAACTGGACCGAGGACTGAGCCCTGGGGGACCCCATACTTAAGAGCATGATCTTATGACTTAAGCCCTTTAATAAAAACAGATTGGTAACGATTTGACAGGTAAGAAGAAAACCAGCTAAGGGCAGTCCTGGATAATCCAAAAGACACTTCCAATCGCTTCAATAAAATGTGATGGTCAGTTGTATCAAAAGCTGCTGATAGATCTAAAAGGCTCAGCAAAACAACTTTTCATGAATCACAATCAGTAAGCATGTCATTCATGACTTTAAGAAGTGCTGTTTCTGTGCTGTGGTTAGCTCGATAGGCAGACTGGAATGGCATTAACAGATTGTTTTCTTGTAAGTGATGACGAAGCTGCTCGAGTACAAGGATTTGGGGGGGGGGGGGGGGTGTTGCTTTACTTTTATCTGATGTTGTATTAGATATTGTTCTATTAAAGTCTGACTTTCATGCCTAAACTTTTCTAGATTTAGAGGAATTGTTCTTTGTGCTTTAGACCATTATTAGTGAAAATGATCTTTAGTTTTGTAGGGCTTGGCCCATCCTGCCCTCAACTTAGTGGTTGGCTTATGTGACAGTATTTTGTAGACAGTATTATGTTGTCTCTGTATCATTCAAGCATGCCAGTATTGTTACTTAGTGAAAATAAAGCGAATTATGTTCAATAATTAGTATTCCTAATAATGTGACTGTCACCGTCACAAGATAATTCAGTCTTCGGAGGGGGTTGATATGTTTTTTAAAGACATCTTTCATGATTTTTTACAATGATGCAACTGGTATTAAAAAGTTTCTCACCTCAATCACTTTTCTTCTTGTTTTTCTTGTTTCAGATGTTCTGTCAATCAGCTTGAAATTTTGTCAACCACTTTGGAACCTCTAAGGCATAGAGATTACAAGACGGTATCTTTAGGGAGATATCCATCTGCCCCTTTCAAGGAAGATAAGAAGGGGTCAGTCACAAAGCCAAAAAAGGAAAAACCAGTCAGCAGGTCGTTAACACTTTCCAGAGACAAAAAGAAGTCAATACTTTTAGCTGATACATTGGACAATGTGGCAGATATTGAACATATCAAATCATTTGTTAGTGATGATGCTTCTCAGGTGAACCAAAAGCCACTAAGAAAACCTGCTGTTGTAATATCCAGTGATAAGGCCCCAGAGTCAAAGAGACATTCTGATAGTCATGAGGCTCAAACAGGAGGCCCAAAGGAGTTCCCACTCCCGCATGAGAAAGAAGGTGCACACACTGCTGAACCTGTCTCAGAGCCTATTGACCAGTATGCATCGTTACTGTCAAGTTCAATCATGTTATCAGCTTTAAATGATGCTTCTGCCCTGACCTTTTATGACACAAACCAATTCAGCACGTCAAGAGAAGGCTCTAACCTGTCAAAATCAAAGTCGTTTACCGAGGAAGGTAACGAGGAAATGCAGATGAATGAGCAAAAGGAACTGGACAATTGTAAATCCCCCACAGAGTACAACCTTATTTTAAAATCAAAAGAGAATAATGTTGAATTTTTGTCTGACTTTCTCAATGGTCAGGAAAATAGGAAATCTTCATCAATTGAGAAGACAGATAGCAGGTCTTTGGCAAGTGAGAGAAAGTCTCGACCAGTCACCCTTAGCTCAAGAGCTTCTTCGACAAAATTTCTTGGTGGCAATTTGGAATTTGCTTCTCAATCATATCGTAGCTGGCTTGATCGGGAGCCAAGCCAGTCTAGTCAGTTTCGACGAAGTGCCTTTGCTTCATCGGCAGCTACCACCACAGACTTCTTTGACCGTGAAAAGTTGGCTGTACTAGGTAAGAGTCCATTATCGCATGTTTTGATTGTTCATGTCTTCTTTTAAAAATCAACTGATATGTTAAAACAAAACTTCAGTTTGAATAATAAATGCCAAATCTTTGAATGAGCAAACAACCTTAATAATAACTGGGAAACAACTTTCAAGTTATAGTTGTGCTGCCAGATTGAATGTAGACAACATGTCAAATGTTGAAGAGAAAGAAACAACAACCAATATTTGAATGTCTCCTTTAACAAAGCAATATATGAGTACTCATTATTTTTTACCTCTCGTGTGTAGAATACAATTTAAGAAAAAAATTCGAGTTTGGGTCAAGGAAAAGAAAAGGTTGAACAGAGTTTATTTCTCTAAATGCTGGATGTTCAGTAGATTTCCACATTTGAATGAGATATTGTGACATAAAGTACTGATAACTAAGATGCTGAAAAGCAAAGGCAAAAAACTGTTTTTAACTGAGTGTGTCTGCTTCACTTATGATTGGATAATAATATAAAGAATACCTTAGTATTAATTTCGAGACAAGGAGTTTGAGTATATAAATAGTTTTATATTCCTTTTATTCACATATCCTCAGCCCTCTTTGTTCATTATTTCCTTCATATTCTTTGTAAAACTTCAGGCAGGCACCCTAACATTAAAGAGCATTTGTGATACAGTGGAGTCCACTTATAACGAGTCCTAAAATAACGAGAAGTCTGTTATAAAGACACTATTCTAAAACCCCGTTTTTTCTCCTTCTTTATCTTTGTAAATAAAATACTGCTATAACGCAATCAGACCGTCACGCGAGTCGTATATAACGGAATATTGCTGCTGCTGTGCGCAGTGCACAGACCAATTAAACATTATTATAAAACCTTGCCAGTTGAGAAAGTTGTCGGTGATCCAGCGAAACAAGGAATGGGAGAGCCCACGCGAACCAACAATGAAGGCCGAAGCGAATGAGTGGGGAAGGTGTGACATGCGCAGACAAGCAGAACGCATCACATGATAGGCCAGCCCAGTCTAGATTATCTAGACATACCATGCCTCTCACTTCTCTGGTGCGGGATGGAGAGGTCACAATGCTGTGATAGATGGATGGGGTGAATGTGTGACGTGCGCAAGCAGACGCAACGAACCACAAGGTGTGGTGGGGTGGGGGACAACACAGCGGGCGAGTTAGCCTAGAGCCAGAGCCCTTTCTTTCTGATCCCCAAGGCCGATTTGTCAACATTGCTAGTGCTAGAGAAAGAAACCTGATTCGATTTTTTATCAAGTAAGACCTAGAGATCATGATGAACAAAATCATCATCAGGGAAAATACAAAAAGAAATAAACGGAACGCCAAACTCATAGATTAAGCCTACTTTACTATTTCCCTTGAATTTATTACTGGTTCCCTTGTAACGAGAATCCTGCTATAACGGACATTTCGCACCGGTCCCCTCCATCTCGTTATAACAGGATTCCACTGTACAAACATTTGTGAAAAAAGGAGGCTGAAAATACTGCTTAATTTACATAGACTTCGAAGCTGTCAGTTTGCATGTGTCCTTTCAGCTTTAGGGTAGGCGAGGGAAGGGGAGGGGGGTGGGGGGATGAATAGGTCAGCTATAGATCTGCAAGAGGTGCATCAGTAAGACAAATAAGAATAACAAATGTATTTGAAAATCTGTGCATAGATGTTCAGGAGTGATGTCCACTTTGGTGTGCTGCATGTTCTTGCTTTCCTCCTTTTTTTTACACCCGCTGTTTGTGTTCTACCTTCAAAATGACCTATTTGTGACTAGAAGGGTGTCACACTCATACAAAAGAAGGAGAAAAAAAGCCGATCAAAACAAGCCAAAATCTCTGTTGTTTCCCAGGTCCAATGCAGCATCCCGAGGGTGCTGATTCTTTCCAGAAGCATGTGGATTTCAGTTTTCTGCCAATCCCCCTTCAAAAATATTACAAGAACTCCCGTTGGTGGCCTGCACAACCCCCACAAGGCAAAGTCTTCCAGCAGGCTAGGAAGCAGGAGCTGGCTAGCAACTTCAAAGAACAGCTGTTGATTATCTGGGATGTGAGTAATCGGGATTTGAGCATTTTATGAGTTTTTTTTAGTTTGAGACGTCTGTTTTCTAAGAGTTGCTATATATGATTAGTTGTAATATCAGTTTAAAACAAAAAATAACTGTTGCCATTAATGTGCTTGAACTGAATGAAGGATAAGTTATGCTTTTAACACTGTTTTGTAGTACCCTGAATGATGTCTTTGTTTGCTCTTCTTGTCTTCGTATTTGCTAGTAAATGTGAGGCAGCGTGGTGGAATCAGGCTCTCATCAATTTTGAGGCTTGTAGAGTTATTGGTATCATCTTAAAGCTTGTTAACTTGTCTTTATTTGTGTGGAAAAAAATATTTATTTATTTGGAATACAAATCGAGATATTTGCAAATAAAGGAGGTGGGGGTGACCTGTTTTCAGAGGTAAAATTAGAGAGAGAATGGTCGCCAAAGATTAGTTATTTCCTTAGCTTCAGAGTCCGTGGTAACTGAAAATTTACATTTTTTGTGCCTTTAGTCAACGTTTTTCAGAAAAATCCACACAGAAATGAGTTCTTTAATGGGCTTGAAAGGTGTTGAGATAAAAAAAAAAATTGATAAAAATTCACAAACCTGCGGAAAAATGCAATTTTCATCACTTTGATTATTTTGACGAGATCCTGATTCCACCACACTGCCTCACAAATGCTTTAACAAAGTTTTCAGAGGTTACTGTGGGTGATGCCATTGTCTTATTCTTTGTGGGGATTCAGATGAGTTACATATAGCTGAGACTAACATTTTAAAAAATCATAATGTCAGACTTAAAGTTTCATTGTTCCCTATTTTACTTAATAAATTTCTTTGCTTCCTTCCCAGTGGATGTGTGAATGGGAGGACTTTGAAAGGATTGCATTTACCAAAGAAGTGGCAAAAATGTGCTCTGCTGATGTACTGGATGTTTTTTTGTGGCACATCAAGCAAAGGTGATTTCTTTTGTTGCAATCGCAAGTGTCCTTGCTATTACTTTTATTATTATCCTACCTCTGAAACATGTAAAAGGCAATAACTAAAGAATCAAATCTGTCAGGGATGATTATACATAACTTTGTTAGTTGTTGCTTATTGTAAGTTCTAATAACCTCATGCATGACCATAGAAACTGGTCTGTATGAAGCACACTCTCTGTTTGCTTTAACACTAGTTGAGTCTACTCTTATTGTTATCAATATCTGGCCCGTGAAAGTAATAGCATAAGGCATCTTGTAAATACTTTTGGTATAAAATTCCCCTGCATTTAAACTTAGACACGAGTTTTCTGAGAATGTGACATAAGGTTTCTTAAACATCAGACAACTGTTTTTTTTTAAAAACTTGCTAATTTCCCAAACTCATTTGAACTGTCAATGCTATCCCTATAATTATAACACCTTCCTGGTAATCTATTCTCTGCATCCTCCCAAGCAAGACATACCAGGTTATCTATTGTGCTTGGAAGAGTTCTTATGGTCTGATATAAAATGAACAATACGCTCTAGGTTAGCATTTTTCCATACAATTACTGTATTTCACAAAAAAGGCAATTTTTTTGTTATTCTATTTCTGAAGGATTTATCAAGGCTGTTTGGAAAAAGGTGATCTCTCCTCCTCAGTGTTCTTTTGGTTTTCAAAATCAAGTGTCTGAATGTATCTCACTTTTCTTAGGTTAAGTAATCTTTTGAATGTGTTGAATTCTTGCACTCAAATAGATTGGGTTGGGGAAAGCGGGGGGGGGGGGGGGTGGGTCTTTCTATGAAAATGATGATACCATGGGTAGAAGACACTGCATGCTTACTTGTGTCACTTTCTCCTTTACCTCAAGGTTTTCTGGTTATGTGTTGTCTGATTCTATCATCTTGTTGATTCTTCTTCCGTCACCATTCACTTTGAACTTCCTCTTGATGGTTTTCTTTACGTATGCACTTACAAGATTGATGTCATAGCTTTTTTTAAGGTTTTATACTTAAACATTCTTCGGTACTATTGTTTGTTTCTGTTATCTGAGAAGTACTTATGGCTAAACTTGTTATGTCTGTGCTGGTTTTCAACTGATTTTTTCAAACTGAGAAACCCTTTCAAAGCAGGGAATATTAAAAAAATAGTACAGTCTAACCTTCTCTAATGACCACCTGTCCAAGAAAGTTATGTATATATATGACTGCTTCCCTTCACTCCCCCTTTGCAATTTTTCTTTATTGTAAGGACACTATTTATGATGTGAAACTGACTAATGTAACCAAATTTCCCCTTAATGATTGATGGTGATCTTGGACAGTTTTAACTGTATGTATATATACTTATTATACATGTAATATATGTACGTATGTATGTATGTATGTATGTATATTAAGAAAAACATTCAGCATTTTGTTTCAGGTCTTTGTAGACCTGTTACTTTCACTGACATTAACCAGTGACATCATAAAAGTAAAACTACATGGTAGCTTTGGTCTTAGCTGCTAGTCATATGATTACAATGGTAATTCTAGATATCACTTTTGTTGCCTGACTAAAATGTTTTATTTCGGAAGGATGTTCACCATAGTTGTTCTTTTCGTCGACGTGAAAGAAAGTGTCGAATTGCTTTACTTTCTTATGAATACTTGTAATATTTTATCATTGTATTTCACCTCCTGTGCTCTGGTTTCATGTGAGATGTTTCTAAACATTATGTATAGGTTCTGTGTTTCTTGGTTTTCATGTTTGACTTAGAATAGAAATGTTGAACTTGCAATTATTTCATATATGTGTTTTCCCCATCATCATCATCGTCATCAGCATCACCATCATCATCATCATCATCATCATCATCATCATCATCGTCATCATCATCGTCATCATCATCATCATCATCTTCATCATCATCATAATGTTGTTAGGTAGATGTTATGAATTATATCAATCTTTCTCATTTTTTAAAGTTTCATTATTGTGACTCACCTTCACCTCTTCTCTGCTCGGGTTATTCACTTTTGTCTGTTTTCTCAACTAGATTTTTATTCATACTTTGTCTTTTATTGTGTCTTCTATCTTCAGTAGAAACAGGAATAGTCTCTTACATGATTGTTGAAGTGGGTCATGGTTGAGCGACGTTTTGCTTTGTCGTCTGTATTAATTGTTCCTCTGAAGTGACTTAGCCTTCTTTCTCTATATGCACCCAATAGTGGGTGGTTGGCGGGTGCTCTGGTTTGTTCCTTCTTTCCTATCAAAATATTTATTGTCCAGATCTCTCCTCCTTTTTTTGTGTTTGTACTCTCTTGTAGCACTTCTAATCTTCTGCACTTTTATGACTTAGCCGTGTTGCAAGTGCTGTAAAACTCTTACTAGAAAAGACAGTAATGAAATGATGCTTCTCTCTAAATATCTTTAAGAATTACCCCACAGGCTCTGTACAGATTATCCTGATAATAATGTGAATAATAATCTTACACCTCCCCCCAAAAAAGAATTATTTGAAACAAATGTGATTCTCATTTTACTAAGTATAATGTAATCATCATAATGAGTAAGTTTTCCTGCTTCTAAATATGGCTTGGGAAAATAAGTCGTTCTGCTTACCTAAATTTGTGGGGTAGCGTGATGAAATCAGGCGCTCATCAAAATACAGAAATCGGAGAAACAGGCATTTTTCCACTAGTTTGGAAACTTTAAATGGATCTTTTATTTTTTGGCTCAACCTCTTTTATGTCCATATAAAGATACATTTCCATGTGAATTTTACTACACAACATTGATTAAAGGCTGAAAATATGTAATTTTCTTGTTTTCAAGGACTCTTCTTAGCTATTGGAGTTACCAAACTTTGGTGGCCATTTTCTCGCTAATTTCACCACTGAAACCAGCCGACCTCACTTTTTTCAATCTCAATTATCGTGAGTTCTATTCAAGATAGATGGATATTTATTTCATTGGAAGCAAGGCAAATAAATCAGCTTTCAGATGATACCAATAACTCCACATGCCCAAAAATTGACGAGCGTCTGATTCCACTGCGTCGTGACACATTTTTATATCAATATATTCTGGTCTTCCTGGAAAAATATTGGAAGAATAAATGGTATGCATCATGTCCGTACATCTATTATTCTCTTCGGACAAGTTCAAATCATAAACAAGATCTGTTAGTCTCTGTTAGTCAAAATGCGCAATTTCAAGATGCTTTATAGTTTTTAACGTTGTCTTTTCACAATTGCATGTCTTGTTTGTCTTTCTGCCAATATTTTGGGGCTGCCTTTGAAATATAAAGTAAAGGATTATTATATTAGCCTCGCCTCGATGAAGATGGTTGGCGTCATAATTTGGCGCCCTCCTCTCCCCTTTGCCCCCCAAGTTGTGATTTTTGCCATAGACTTTAACGATTCTCTTCCCATAATTTTGTCTTCATCCTTTCTCAAGCCTTTTTTCTACATCAATTTATCATAGTATGTGTACGTGTGTGTGTGTGTATGTGTGTGTGTGTGTATGTGTGTGTGTGTGTTTGTGTGCGTGCACGTATGTACGTGCATGCTTGCTTGCATGTGTGTGTGTATATATATATATGTGTATGTGTGTGTGTGTGTGTGTGTGTGTTTGTGTGTGTGTTAGTGAGTGAGAGAGAGTGAGGCTGAGAGGAAGAGAGAGATGGAGAGTGAGAGAGAAGAGAGAGAGACAGAGAGAGGGAGAGCGCGACAGAAAGAGGAGTGTGTGTGTGTGTGTGTGTGTGTATGTATGTATGTGTGTGTGTGTGTGTGT